GCATAAAAAAAAGACAAAGTAACAATTTTCTTTCTTCAAAACCACTCAGCTGTGCAATCTTTAGTTCTTTTAGACCTTCAGAAGGTATGATCAGTATGCATAGGAAAAGTCATGTCTCTTACTTAACTTTGCAAGAGTGCACTGCAAAGCATTAATAGCTGCATTGCCTTGTTAATAAACTTCAGTCAAAATGCTTTGGAAGATAATTTGATTAAAAAAAAGAATAAAAAACATCGAAGCTGAAATATTGCTTTTATAAGCTACAAGATCAATTCACCATGTGCTTTTTTAATCAACGGAAATATATACATTTAAACAGAAAACACAGATGACTTAGCATTCTCCCATATCACGTCAGTGAGCGTGACTAGTTCCTTGTGATTTTTTTTTTCTAATACTCTCTTGTGCTCTGACTTATGGGAGAAAAACTTTCCATGAAAAATGTGCGCTACTTTTCCACTTTTGGCCTTGTGTGTGCTTCTTCTCTGCCTTAATTACAATATAAATCAACTGCAAAAAAAGATTTACAGTGATTACCCCTCACTTAGAGAGCTGTGAAGATTGATCTGGAAGTGGTGTGTTTGTCAAGCTTTGTGTCTACTTCTCATCTTAGCTAGTTCTAAAGTGAATCCCAGGACAACTTACAGTAAGATTCAAAAAGAAGTAAATGTGGGCCAGCCTGAGTGGCCTAGTGATTAAGTTCAGCATGCTCAGCTTCAGCGGCCCGGGGTTCGGTTCCCGGGTGCAGACCTACATCGCTCTGTTACCGGCCATCCTGTTCTGGCAGCCCACATACTAAACAATAAAGGAAGATTGGCACAGGTGTTAGCTCAGGGCAAGTCTTCCTCAGGAAGAAAAAAAAAAAAAGAAGTAAATGTGGGAGGGAAAAGCTCTGGTGGATCACTGCGCTCCCTGTGTTCTCACGGAATATGCCTAACAACTTACTCTGGCAAAATTCCAGGGCAAAGGACTTTTCAAACAATTGTGAACTTCAAACCCATTCATTACATTAGGAGAAAAGATCACCATAGCTACTAAATGGATCCTGAATATCCCCCATTTTCTCTCAAGGTAGTCAACTGGGTAGGAGAGTAATTGGAACAGAAATCTTCCTGCTTTGCATGGATTAATTCTTATCACGAGCAACAAGAATTTCTTAAGGACCTATATTCAGGTCACTGTACTAGTTTCTTGAAGAGAGGTTGATCAATCCTCACCTTTAGAAAGTTTGTCTTTTTTCTAAGGTAAGCTCATTCATTAATGCGATCACACCACAGCACAACACAAATATAGAATTAAGAAACAAAGCTGACACAGTGTAATGTGTCCTTTCATCTTTCTACTTCCTCAGAAGTTTTGGAATGTGCTGAATGTCAGTTTAAGTTCCATAGCTTCCATACCTCTACAGGCATCTGTCCTGCCATCCCATTGCTGTTCAAGCAGGCTGGTGCCACTCAGGTCTAAAGGATCAAAGAGATGAAATAGCATGCCTTTTGGATTTCTTTGTGTTGAATTTCTTTGAAAACCAACTTGACTGCTTTATTTAAAAAGTGACCACATGGGGCTGGCCCCATCATAGTGGTTAAAGTTTGGCGTGCTCCACTTTGGCTGCCCGGGTTCACAGGTTTGGATACCAGGTGCCGACCTACACCACTCATCAGCCATCCTGTGGCAGTGACCCACATACAAAATAGAGGAAGATGGGCACACATGTTAGCTCAGGACTAATCTTCCTCAAGCAAAAAAAGAGAAAGATTGGCAACAGATGTTAGCTCAGGATGAATCTTCCTCAGCAAAAAAAAAGTAACCTCAGTGATTCCTCCTTGATGAAATGTAATAAAGCTTCTAATAAATTATTAGGACAGCTATTTGCTAATTTTCCAGTATATCCCTTTTAAAAATGGGCTCCTCTTTCCAAACAACACTCTTGAAAAATCATATTTTCCTGCTCAATTGTTCGCTGCTTTTATTGTTTTCCTAGAGCAGAATGCTCCTGTTGAACAGTGAAGTGCCAAAGATTTTCACTCTCAGCTCACATGAGGACTCAGAAAGGAATGTAATCATACTTAAAAAATAAAGTATATTCTCAAATCTAGAAATTAGCTAGTAATGGAAATTATCATCACAGTGTTTTAACTGATGACCACTGAACTCTTTTCTGGCAAACGGCTCATAGAGCATTAATTGCACGTCACATTACAGATCTGCAGAGTTAAGTTCTGTCTTGCCCTTGGGATTGTGAGGTCTAAAGCAACTTTGTAAATGTCTTTCAGGGTACAAAAAAAATCATTGAACTGCAAAAGTTCTATTTGGTCTGCGAAGTATGTGCCTCACTGTCCTTTCAAATGTCATTCCCTGCCCCTCAAACATATATTATGGAGTATCTACCACTTTTTAACAGTGCTGGGAAGCTCCACCTCTTTCTACTTCTATCCATAGCACCCAGTATCTTCCTGAGTACACTCCAGAAAACTATTTCCTACATAAAGCAAATCCAAAGGGTTTAGAAAGGAAAATTAATTCTGATTTCATTTTTTCTGATCAATGTTTGCATGGAGACAATCTGGATTTTTTTTTTTTACAGTGCTGTATACATTTTAATGGATTATTTAAAATAGCTCATAATAGTGATTGTTACTAACATAGGAATAGAATCCTAATTTAGGAACAAAGAATAAAATATCTTCTTCTAGTATCAATTGGTAAATGATATTACTAGATATAATATCTGCATTATGAAGTTTGCAAGATGAAAAGAAGAAAAGTTGATAAAAATTAAGGAAAAGTAGTTTTGAAAATGTGATCCTGTGCAAAACTTCATACAAACACTCACAAAATGTAAATCTTATTTCAAATTTCATTAATTCAAAAGTAGGCTGCTTCTTTTTTTTAATAATTCATACAGGGTTTGGTTTGACATTGGATTTGATCTTCCCCACAAAAAAATTTTTACTTCCCTAACCAATACTGAAAACACAAGAAATATTTACCAACTTAAGCAAATGGACTCTTTGAGCACCTTAGAAACACTCCTACATATCAGGAATGTAATTGTAATGCTAATTTAAGTTTAAT